AGACTCATGCATTGCCGTCAGACGTTGCCATCATTGGCGGACGGACTGCAGTAGCACCCTCTTCAAGTAGTACACCTCTTGTATAATTCCAATTGGCGAGACCTAGAAACCACTCTGACATCCAAAGACGTACTCTGCCGAGATAATATGCCAACAGCCACGCTAAGCAAACGGACCAAGCCCCGGGAAACGAAGACTGAAGCAAGGCCAGCGTTTCCGGTACGGTACATATACGTCTGTTAGCGTAGTGCGCCTCACACACGAGTCCGGATCATGCGATTCACACTTATTGGGACTAAACACATCTTGCTGACGATGGTATAAGGTACGCTGCGCTTATAAATATATATGTACCGTACCGAAAACGTTGGCCTCGCTTCGGTCTTCGGTTTCCGGGGCTTGGTCCGTTCTCTTAGAATTGCTGTTGACACGTTATTTCGGTACAGTGTGTCTTTGGATGACAAAGCCGTTCTTAGGTCTCGCCAACGAATTATGCAAGAGGCGCACTACTTTAAGAAGGTGCTACTACAGTCTGTCCGCACATGATGGTGACATCCCACGACAGTGCATGAGTATTATTCATTGAATCAAACCATTGCAGCTCAGCCGACATTGTCGGCACAATGTGTTTATTTCTTAGTGTGAATCGCGTTGTAAGGGCTCTTGTTTCAGGTGCACCGCACGACTAAACGTATATGTGCCGTACCTAAGCCGTTGCCTTTGTTTCGGTCCTCGGTTCCCGGGGCTTGGCTTTGTTCCTCAGGGTTCGTGTCGGGATTTTATCTCGGCGGGGTGTGTCTTTGCCTTTCAGAGTGGTTTTTAGGTCTCGCCAATCGGAATTATACAAGAGGTGTACTACTTTAAGAGGGTGCTACTACAGCCTGTCCGCACATGATGGCAGCATCTCACGGCAATGCATCAGTCTTATTCATCGGACCGAAGTCTCGCAGTTCCACCGTCATTGTCAGCACGATGTGTTTAATTTCCATAAGTGTGAATCGCCTGATCCGGACTCGTGCATGAGGTGCACTGCGCTAATAGACGCATATGTGCCGCACCGAAAACGCTGGCCTAGCTTCAGTCTTCGGTTCCAAGGCTTGGTCCGTATCCTTAGGATTTTTATTGGCATATTATCTCGGTAGAGTATGTCTTTGGATGCCAGAGCGGTTTTTAGGTCCCGCCAATTGGAATTATACAAGAGGTGTACTACTTGAAGAGGGTGCTACTGCAGTCCGTCCGCCAATGATGGCAACATCTGACGGCAATGCATGAGTCTTATTCATCGGACCGTGGTCTGGCATATCCACCGACATCGTCAGCAAGATGTGTTTGGTCCTAGTAAGTGTGAATCGCATGATCCGGACTCGTGTGTAAGGTGCACTACGCTAATAGACGTATATGTACCGTACCGAAACGCTGGCCTTGCTTCAGTCTTCTTTCCCGAGGCTTGATCCGTTTCCATAGGGTGGCTGTTGGCATATTATCTCGGCAGAGTATGTCTCTGGATGTCAGAGCGATTTCAAGCCTTGCTCGTTGGAATTGTACAAGAGGTGCACTACTTTAAGAGGGTACTACGACAGTCCCTCTGCACGACATGATGGCAGCATGTCACGGCAAACGGAGTAGTCATATTAATTGAATCCAAGTGTTGTAGTTTAAGCGACAATGTCGTCACGATGTGTTTGGTCCTAATAAGTGTGAATCACATTATCCGGACTCGTGTATGAGATGCACTGCGCTAATAGACGTCAATGTACCGCACCGAAAGCGTTGGCTTGGCTTCGGTGTTTGGTTCCCGTGGCTTGGTCCGTTTTTTAAGACTGCTGGAAATGCTTCAGTTCCGCCGACATTGTTGGGTTTTTCTCTGTGCTGTCTGTTTGGAAATATCAATTCGAGACACGAATGTGAAAAACTGGGATACTTTTCTTAACCGCTCGAATGTACGTAATTTGGTGCTTATGTTGCACTTTTAGTACATGCTATAAATCGTCGGCTGTCTGCGTGTTAAAAATCATATGACCTGTTTGTGGCCGAAATTATTATATTATCAGATGGGTATTTCTTGAAGATGATAGGCAATCATGCGAGCATTGTGAGTAGCAGTGGTCGAAACGACGTAGTGTATAATGTTAATTGCCTGCTCTTTATTTTTGGTGCTAAAGATGTCGTTTGGATTGTATGATTTCAAAGTCGGGCAATCCTGCTAACGCGAGCTGGTTGAGCCCGTGCCGCACTGCGCGTAAAACGCTCGCGGTGGGGATTTTTCTTCTTCTAAAAAAGGTGAAGTACTTGAAGAATACCGGGATTTCGTCCGAATTCTCGGCCGTCAGCTGTCTAAACAAAAAAAAAGAAAAATGCCTGGCGCACGCAGTTCTGTTCATGGCCATTTCAGCTTAGTTTGGTGTTGCCGCTTTTCCACGGGTTTTTAGCTATTGCTCGAGACGGTCCAAGTCCAAGATGGTAAAGGAAAAGAGAAAGAAGGTGAAGTTGACACCATGCTGCTAAAACTACCCTTATTATTGAGGGCCTTGAGTGGCTAGCAGCACAGAAATCCTCACGTAATTTAGCCTTGCTAGGCGCTTGATCTATGCAGACAGCAGGCGTCGGCGGTGCTTGGTGTTATCTTTCCGCCTAAAGGTTAGATTAATTTACATCTGGGGCAGGCTCCATGCTTCCAAAAGCCAAATGGAGGTAATATGGTCATTTTATATAGTTTTGACTTGTTCTCACTTTAATTTTTGGATTGCTCAAAATTCTTGCAGAGAATGCCTCCAAGTTTCTTTCATTAAGTTAATACCTAAAGGCCCCAGGAGTGTTTTTGCAGATGTTCCTTAAATTAGGATGCTGGTTGCTTGTCAGTTAAATTTGTGTGAGAAAGGTAGCTTAAAAATTGCTGCATGATATGACGGATGAACAAATATAGATCATTGCAGTCAGCTCGGAATGTGAACTTTTTTAATGGTAGGACCGAAATTGCCCAATGACGGGGACAGAACAGCAAGAAAGCAAATGTGAACACTGGATGAAAATAGTTGTCATCATTACTCTGCTAAATCCAAGTTTGTGTGTTCCATGTGCAGGAAAACAGTGCATAAACTAACACCTAACGTGATGGCACATGCTGCATGGAGAACACGTGTGTGTTGCATATCATCACCTGCTTTTGTACTGATGATTAAATATGTCACCTTGGTGCTTTTTTGTGATGGGTGTCTGCAGGCCATGAGGTAGGTACTTGAACTGTTCAACAATTCTTGCAGGGAGTACCAATAGTTTCTTGCATTAAGTGAATACATAAATGCCCCAGGATTGATTTTGCAGACATTCCTCCTGTGACTTGAACATTTGGTTGACCACCTATTGGCAGGAGGGATGTGCTGGATATTGGTGACTGGCTCGTCAAGGAAATATGAAGCTACATCACACTGGTAGACCAAATGGCAAGGAAGCGGGGGCTGGAATATTTGTTTTTGATGTGATTAGGCTGTTTGTTGCTTGTCAGTTTAGTGTGTGTGAGATAGGTAACTCAATAATTTGTGCATGATGCAAAGGATCAACAAATATAGGCAATAGATCATTGCAGTCAGTGCAGAATGTGAACTATTTTTAATGATGGGACCAAAATTGCCCAGTGATGGTTCCAAAATGTCAAGAAAGCAAATGTGAGCACTGGATGAAAATAGCTGTCATCAGTACTCTGTCAAATCCAGGTTTGTGCATTTCATGTGGAAGAAAACAGTGCATAAACTAAGTAAACCTAACATAATGCCACATGAGGTGCAGAGAACATCTGTGGTGCACATCAGTACCTGTTTTTGTACTGGTGAGTAAATATGTTACCTTGGTGCTTTTTGTGACATGTATCTTTGCAAACCATGAGGTGGATAATTGAGCTGTTGTTATAATTAATCATTTGTTATGAATTTTGAGCCCAGATTGCATTTGTCATGACAGCTCTGGGGCTGGTTCACATGTTATGATCTTTGGACTGTGCGAACACAGCTGTTTGTGCCACCTAGCCATCAGTCCATATCAGTCAATGCTGTTGACTGCAAGGATATCAAAGCAGTATTTCAACCCTAGTATGTCAAGAAAGCAAATAGCTGCATTCTGACCTGCCAGTCCATGCCAAGTCTAAATGGCGATGCTGCCCTCAGGTACTGATGATGCATTGGATGGGGAAAGACAACATAGTTACACAATTTTTGCCACTAACTATGTAGCATTCATGAGTCATTTCTGTAGCTTAACTCACTGTTGCAGGCTGCTCATAAATGCATTAATGTGGGAGTAGGTAATGTGTTTCTTGGGCTGCGCAAAGTAGATGACATGATGCTGGGTGGCATACTGATATGAGTTTGTGAGTGTCATTGGCCAATACAAGAAAATACTGATTTCCTGCTAGCCAAAGTTTCCCACTAGTAAAAATTTGCATATAACACTGTTTATGTGACAGATTTGGCAGTGCTGACTGTGCAACTCTTGTGTTTCAAGTGCTATGGCTTGTGCTGTAGCTATAAAGCCTATGAGTCCCGCACAGATCATTTTTCCAACGGAGTCCATCTTCCTCCTCGCCCTCAAAGCTGTCTCGCGCCCACCATGGCTCGTGACATTCGCCATCCATACGCAGAGTACCGGCTTTTTTCTTCTTGTTTTGTTCATCTTCACAATATAAAGCATTTTCCAGACATGGTACCAATATGGTGTAATGTCCGCCCCCGGGATGCTAGAGATCTGGTGTTAGAGCCCGACCTTCCCAAAACTATACATGGTTAATAGTAAAAGGTGGCTCATGGAAATATAGCATATCAGTCAGCAGCAGATGTAACAATGGCGTACGCATGTGACTGCCCGATAATGTTTTCGATGAGCCGAACCGCCATAAGATAGCGAAGCAAAATAGCAACGAAAATATCAAAGCATTAACAAAAAAAACGACAACCGAATGTCCTAACGGACTCATCATAACAGCGTTGACCTCAAATACCAGCACTACTGACCGTTGGTTGAGCTGAGCAGCCGAGGCAGTTGCCTCAATCTGTGGCATCAGGTAGATGTTGTTCTTGAGGGAGTCGGCCGAGTGAGCGACGCATGTCAGGTCGCGGCACGTGGGACACTTGATGATGCCACTAGTAGTCAGCTTCCGCAGACACTGCAGGCAGAATGTGTGCTGGATGCCGCCGCTGCACTTGAGGAACTTGGGCAGGCGCGAAGATGCATTGTATGCCTGGAAGCACATACCGCACTGGAGGTGGTCCGCCATCGCCCTGTAACAGCCAGTGTTCACATATTTCAAGATAACCATAGAGCGAGCCGTGCGTGTTGAAACGTCACACGTCGGAGCGTCGATGTCCATCCCGCTTTGCCTAACGTGGCCTTGTGGGGTCTAGCCCATCACTACCGTCAAGCAAATCTGCTCGCGACAGTTCAGTGTCAGGTCAGATACGGCGTGGCCTTGTGGGGTCTAGCCCATCACTACCGTCAAGCGAATCTGCTCGCGACAGTTCAGTGTCAGGTCAGATACGGCAACCGGACTAAGAGGGCCCAAACACGCGTGAGTCAAACCATGTGCTAACTGCCGCATGCGTCGTGCGCGGCTCTCAAATTGCGGACATCGTTGGCGCGTCATCCAGTGTCATTGGCGAGCGTCTCGTGCAATTTAAGAGCCACACACGACTCGCACTAGCAAGCCCTTGTACTAGCATCTGCGCTACCTGCCTCATACGCATTTCATCTCCTCCGCTTAAATGTTTTCGCAGATGTTATTAACGGACTGGGGCAACGTAAGATAGTGAAACACTCGAGTGATAGGAGGCTCAAATCTCCTTCCCACTTTTGAGTTAACAAGCAGCTTATTGACATTTAGGAATGCACCAAACCATGGCTACAATGGCTAGCTACACCTTATCTCAGGTCACGTGACTACGAATTAAGTTTCATTTAAATCACATGCCAGGTCATAGCCCATAGGCATCTGCCCAGAAGTTCCAAAGCAGCCACACAACACGTGGTCTGAGCAAAGTCACATACCTATTACATATTCCTTTCGTCAATTAGTGTGGGGAGACCATGTATGGTAACACCTTAAGAGAAACAACATCCACCGCAGGTAACGGGCCCACGCATTCTGCACCATCGGATCACAACGGAACGGGAAGGCCCCCAGACTGAACTGCCTTCAATGTGCTAATGTGACCAGGGTTAGCGGCTACGACCTGGCGTGGCGGCTACGCGCGTCCGCCTGAGCACCGTGGTCCCTACGCAGCCAGAAACGGATGGACAAATCGACACCTAGAACGCATGTTCGCCTCTGAAATACGCCGGGGACAGAGCTCAATGCCGGAAGGCGTTGGTACACGGGAGGTCCGGGTCGAATTCGGCGCAGCTCCCAAACCGAGGGCATGGTCACTGAATGATTTGACGCCAACTAAGTACTCCTGTTGCCCCATTAGACGACGACGGTTCCGCAGCACGCGATCTCACTCCATCTGTTGTGTAGCGTTCACGCACACCCTTACGTGACTGTCGATTCCCTGCCATGGTGGTGATGAGCTGGTACAGGCACAGGAGTGCAGGAAAGCAGCAGTGGGCAGCCTGCCCCGGTCTCAGCATAACAACAGGTACAGAAGTGCAGGAGGGCAGCGATGGGCAGCCTGCCCCAGGCTCCGCATACCAAGAGGCAAAGGAGTGCAGGAGAGCAGCAGTGGACAATCTGCCCCCAGCTCCGTGTACCAACAGGCATAGGAGTGCAGAAGGGTGGCAGTGGGCAACCCGCCTCAGGCTGTGTACCAACAGGCACAGGGGTGCAAGAGGGCAGCAGTGGGCAACCTGCCCCGGGCTCAGCATACCAACAGCCCATGCAAATCGCCAAATAAGCGTGTCATGGTTACATGCCCGGCAAACGAAGGCTTCCCTTACGGCTGAGTGGCGACGCGATGCTGCACCCAAGGCGACGCACATGGTGAAACATCCATCCTAGCCGATGGTCAAGGCCAACAGCGAAGACAACAACTTCTCAATATGCTGCGCGAAATCACCCATGAATGCACCTGAACTTTGAGGCACGGGCCATGTGGGGGGCGCCACAAGACGATCGTGATGGCGCCGCAGAGATACCACAAGAGGGGGGGGGGGGGGAGCATCTTCTAAAATCTTCAGAACGCATCAGTTCGTAATTGGTAGCCCAAGCACAAAACGAACCTTTAACACGCGCCCGGGTGGCCGGCTAGACACCCTTCGCTCTGGTGGGGGTGGGGGCTGAAGGGGCAATATGACCCCCTGAGATCTCGGGAACTAAGAGAGCTAGAGGCACCAAATTTGCAGGGTGTGTTGGCCTGTATGTGAACTCAATTAGGTCAACGTTTGAGCTTGCTAGGTTATGACCTTCAGGTCAAATAAGGTCAAATTCTAGGTTGGTCTCCAAAGTGCCCCAAAAACCCAGATAACTATTTCTGAGCAAAAGGTCACCATCTCACTTAAATTCTGTGGCCTTATTTGAACTTTTGAAGGTCATGGTGACAAAATCATACAAGACTGCTGTGAGTTTTGCATTTAAATAACTGACACAGGTTATGCTAGGTAGTATGCTCCAAAAACAAAATGTCGACCTAGGTCATATTAGGTCAATGAGCTATTCTGATCTCTTACAAGTCAATGAAATATGTATAATGCTGTTCCTGCTATCAATAAATTCGAAATGAACACCAGAAACTGTCCCATACAGCAAGCCCTAGAGCAATAACACAGGTTGATTTTAACCTTGGTCTGACCTTCATACCTGACCTTAGGTCAACGTAATTTGCCCATTTAATGCTTTTACTGTCTAAGAAAGCATCTCAGAGATGTACGGCTTCGTCAAACACCCCGTTGTTGCATCAGATTTAACAATTCTCTAGAAATTGTTTTCGCTGAAACCATGGCCTGACTTTCACCTGCCATAGGTCAGCAACCTTGCAAGGTACATCTAATTTTTTATGTCAAACAATCCGCTATTCAATTGTCTACAGCTACGCAAAATTTGGCGCGGCGTAGCGGCGCCGTTCGCAAACCATTTTGGGAAAACCTTGGGGGGGGGGGGGTCAATTTGACCCTCTCCCACCCGAGCGCGTGTTAATTCAGCAGAAAACAAATGATGTCAACTAAATGCTCTTTTTTATCAAATGTTGCACAATGCAAGAGTAAGGCTGGGGCTGCAACAACAGTTTTGTGTTGTAAATGAGGGCATGAGCTGTTTAAAGTACATCAAGTGGGAAAATCCATAAACAAGGCGCCAAACTTGTGAACTTTTCTTTACAGAAGCGTGCGTACATCATCACGCACCTCTTTACGGAGGCCTAGCAGCTGCAAAGGTCGTGGACGCAACCGAGGGACATAGCGACAGCCGGGAATCGAGTCCAGGCCTCCCACATAAAAGCCGAAAGTGCCCTCACTGACCTGGTTCGTTGATCACACTTAAATCACTTGTCTTTGGAGAAGGCACGGTGACAAGGTCAATATGTTAATGGGAGTGCCCCATATGTATGTGGGGTTTTTAACTGAAATCACCATCTTGAAGACGTTCCGGTGCTGTTCACAATCCTGCCCTTCTTAAGACCTAACCCCCTCTTGTGTCTGAGCTAAACGCCCGCGAAAATGGGGAAAGGCATGTTGGGGAGAGCATTTCAAAGTCACTTTGGCATTCATGACGTTATAGTAACGTCATCCAAACCCCACCATTCCATAAGCCAAGCTGCGATCAGTGACAAGTAAAATGTAATTTTGAGACATTCATAACTGGCATTTCCTTTTACTTCTTCAGAAGAAGGAATTGCTTTAGACAGCACAATTCTCTGTTTAATAAATATGCTTCTCAGCACATCACAGTTTGACCACATCATTGTACCTTGCACAACATTAATTGAGAGCCAATTGACTGCAGTTATATCTGGAAATGAAAAAAACTCACACTTACAAACACACTAACAAATGCCAAACATGAACACATCCACAATCATATTTTTCTTGGCCTTGATTTGTTGCATCACTTATGGAATGGCAAGATTTGAATGACATTATGACACCATTAATGCCAAGGGGGTGTTTGAAAGACTCTCCCCCTATACATCTTTCCTCATTTTCACGAGCTTGTAGCTCAGAAACTAGACAGCTTATGTCTCAAGGGGGGCAGGATTGTGAACAACAAAAGATCTTTAAGATTGCTAGTTCAGATCAAAACCCCCATCTACATGTGGAACACTCCCTTTAACAGACCCATGGTGGAAATAGGTTAAAGGACCCCACCATTTGGTACTTGAAACCCTGACTGCCACAGGATCCTTCCAATGTCTTAATGTGAACACTCATCATGTCATGTTTCCTCCATTGTCAGAGGGCACCAACCAACACAAGAGGTCTGCTGTCATTCAGGGTACTGTCCCCATCCTTCTTTGAGTAAATGTTTTCCTAACCAACTCAACACCCCTTGTTGATACAGAACACCCTGTCAGACACTGGGCCCCTGACTGGTACAGAAGCCTTGCATTGGTGCTTGTACATACACATGCCCCCCCCCCCCCTCCTGTCCTCCACCTGTGCTGCTGTCACACAGTTTCCTGTATCTGAGTTTTATCACAATAGTCATACATACTTGGGACAGAACCATGCCTAAATATATCTTAAGTTAGAATTTCATCAATGTCTTTCCAAAATGGGACAGGCCCTGTAATGACCAACTTTCCTAATGTAATGTCATCAGGTCAAACACTCAATGCTCATACCACCTCCTCAACCCCAAAGTATAATAAGGGGTTTGACGCCTACAGTAACAGCACTTGTATTGGTGGGCAACTGCATTTCTACCCATTAAAGAGCATGAGGACAACATGAGGGAAGATAGAACAATGAACCATAACACATTTTGTATAATTGGCAATCTACCCGAGGATAACAAACTGGCAAAAATGCATTTCTACTCCATTAAAGAGCAAGAGGATGGCATGAGGGAAGGTAGAACATTGAACCATGACACATTTTGTATAATTATAGCAATATAACCAAGGACAACAAAGTGGTAAAAAGACTGTCTGCTAACTGCTAAAAAAGATGGTTCATCCAAGACTGCTCATATATTCCTCAATATGCACATTTTTACACTTTGTGATCTTATCTTTATGAGAGAAGTCTACATGACATAATAAATCAGTTTTCAATGATGAAATCCATGCATATCTATACGAAAACATCTTTTAGCGCAGAGAAGACAATCTGAAGTATGACCAAATGACAGAATTTTTCATTACTAGATGCATACACAACACACCCATAATGGGAACACTAAAAAGACACAAGCATGCTGACACAATCACATGAACAGTGTATATGACCAGAGTGTAGATACCTACTGTTTTGGAAAATGTATACATGCAGTGTTTTCATTATGAGTGTAATTGATATTCATCAAGGTATTAGGATTCTTGGTAATTTTTTACTTTGGTACCTGTATGGCCGACGGAGGGAAGAGCTACGCTAGCTGCAGGGTTTCGAGTATTGTCGTCCGGGGGAAAAGCTGTGAGGCATCGGCTGACATTGTGACGTCACTGAAAATGGTTTTGCATCGATCGGGATGGGGGTCCTTTCGGGCCGACTGAAGGCCATAAGGCTTTTGAATGTGACATGTCACTGGTATTCGGCTGGGTATGTGACGTCACGGGTCGTGAGTTTGCAAGGCTCTTTTGGGTCCACCGAATGCCGTAATGCATCAGCTGGCCATGTGTCGTCACTGTTATTCGATTAAACATCAGGCGCGACCGGCCTCGTTCCATCTTTACTTTTCGTACCTGACTGCTGCAAGCATTTGCGTGCCGCATAAAGGTTTGACCGAATCACCTCAATGTGTGACGTCCCTAATCATCACTTCATACGGGTGCACTTAGGCCCCACGACCACGGTGTGTCATGGTCTACGAAGTATCACCGGATAGCGTGACGCCACTGGTATTCGAATAAATACTGAGCGCAACAGGCCGTGCTTTATTTTTACCTTTGTATCTGACTACTGCAAGCATTGGCGTGCTGGATGAAAGCTGCCGAACCACCTGAGTGTGTGACGTCACTGGTCACGAGTTTCACCGGTGCCTTTCGGCCAACTGAAGACCACAAGGTGTCAGCTAACGACGTCACTGCTATACGACCGATTGTAAGACGTCAATGGTCGTGGGTTTCCACGTGTCCTCTAGGACCGACGAAATGCCGTAAGGCATCAGCTGGCGATATGACGTCACTGGTATTTGGCTGAACATCAGCCAACAGGTCATGCTCCATTTATACCTTTCGTACATGTCTGCTGCAAGTATTGGCGGATTTTTTGCGGCCAACTGAAGGCCATAAAGCATCAGCTAGCGATGTGACGTCACTGGCATTCGACCGTGCGTGTCGCTGGTCATGAGATTTTACGGCCTCTTTTGGGCCGACGAAAGGTCATACGGCACTGACTGACGATGTGACGTCACTGGTATTCGAATGAACTTCGGGCGCGACAGGCCATGTTCCACCTTTATCTTTGGTACCTGTCCATTGCAAGCATTGCCGTGGAAGGCTCTGCCAAATTACCTGAGTGTGTACGTCACTGACCATTAATTTGTATACTCTTCTGAACCTACTATAGGCCACAAAGCATCAGCTGACGATATGATGACACTAGGTCTCGACTAGACATCATGCGCAACAGGCCATGCTCTATCTAAGCCATGTTTCGTCTGTACCTTTCGCACCTATCTACTGCAAGTATTCGCGCGACACATAGGGGCTCTGCCGAATTACCTGAGCGTGTGGTGTAACTAGTCATGAGTTTACGCGGGTTTACTCTGGCTGACCGAAGGACATCAAGCATCAGCTGACGATATGACGTCACTGGTATTCGACTATACTCCAGGCGCGACAGGCCATGTTCCATCTCTACCTTTCGTACCTGTCTCTTGGAAGTATTGGCGTGCTGAATGAAGGCTCTGTCGAGTCTCCTGAGTAAGTAACGTCACTGGTCAAGAGCTTTTTACGGGACCTTTTGTACCCCCAAACGGTATAATGTATCAGCTGACGATATGACGTCACTGATGTCCGACCTAACATCAGGCGCGACAGGCCATGTTCTATCTTTACCTTTCGTACCCGTCTATTACAAGTACTGACGTGCTGAATGAAGGCTCTGTCGAGTCTCCTGGGTGTGTAACGTTACTGGTCATGAGTTTTTTCTGGCTCCTTGGAACCCTCTATAGGGAAAAATGCATCAGTTGACGACGTGATGCCAATGGTGTTTGACTTAACATGAGGCGTAACAGGTCATGTTCCATCTTTGCCTTTCGTACCTGTAAAGTATTGGTGCGTTAAATGATGGCTCTGCCGAGTCACTTGAGTGTGCGACGTCACTGGTCATGAATTTTTACGACTATTTTTGGCTGAGCGAAAGCCATAAGGCATCAGCTAACGAAATGACTTCACTGGTAGTCCACTGAGTGTGTGACGTCACTGGTCATGAGCTTTTACGGGCCTTTTTTGGCCGAGTTCAGGCCATTAGGCATCAGATAACGTTATGGCGTCACTTGTATTCGAATTAACATCAATTGCAATAAGCCATGTTTCATCTTTACCTTTCGCATCTGCCTACTGCAGGTATTCGTGCGCTACAAAAAGGCTCTGTCGATTCGCCTGAGCGTGTGGTGTAACTGGTCATGAGTTTGTGCAGGTTTACTCGGGCTGACTGAAGGACATCAAGCATCAGCTGACGATATGACGTCACTGGTAATCGACTAAACTCCAGACGAATCATCTGAGTGGGTGACGTCGCTGGTCATGAGTTTATACGGATTCACTTGGGCCGCCCAAGGCCACAAAGCAACACCTCCCGTGAAGCATCACAGGATGATATGTCGTCACTGTTATTCGACTTAACATCAGGTCCAACATGCCACGTACTTTCTTTACCTTTCGTACCTGTCTATTAAAGGTATTGACGTGCTGAATAAAGGCTCCGTCGAATCTCCTGAGTTTGTGACGTCACTGGTCACGAGTTTTTATGGGCTCTTTTGAACCCATTATAGGTTGTAATGCATCGGCTGACGGCATGACGTTACTGGTGCTCGACTAAACATCAGGCGCAACAGGTCATGTTCCATATTTGCCTTTCGTACCTGGCTGCTGCAAATATTCGCGTGCTATATGAAGGCTCCGCCGAATCACCTGAGTACGTGACGTCACTGATCATCAGTTGGTAGGAGGTCACTTGGCCACCTATGGCTACGAAATTCCGCAGCAGAGGCGGGAGATGCACCATAGTTAAGCACACTAATTTTATTGTGCGCACCATTAAGTAGCAGCTTCAAACGCAACGGGCTGTTTCAACGACTAAAATTTTGAACAAACGTAAACACAAAACAAAGGTGATCCCAGCCCACAAACCGACGTATATGCAAAGCTATTCCGCCCGACATCACAGGATGCGCCCCTGAGCAGCTACGGTCCGGAATGCCCTGATGGCTAAATAATAAAGGGCGCCGCCTAGCGGTCATAAGTCTGGGCCACAGACCGAATATCAGTGACGTCATATGGTCAGATGATGCTTGATGTCCTTCCGTCAGTCCGAGTAAGCCCGCGTAAACTCATGACCAGTTACACCACATGCTCAGGTGATTCGGCAGAGCCTTTATGTAGCGCGCGAATACTTGCAGTATAGAGGTGCGAAAGGCAAAGATGGAACATGGCCTGTTGCGCCTGAGATTAAGTCAAACACCAGTGACGTCATATCGTCAACTGATGTCTTGTACCCTATAGGTACAAAAAAGCGGCCCATAAAGGACTCATGACCAGTGACATTACACACTCAGGAGATTTCACAGAGCTTTCCTTACGCATGTCAATGCTTACAATAGACAGGTACGAAAGATAAAGACGAACATGGTCTGTCGCGCCTGGTGTTAAGTTGAATACCAGTGACGTCACATCGCCAGATGATGCTTGATGTCCTTCAGTCAGCCCGAGTAAACCCGCGTAAACTCATAACCAGTCACGCCACACGCTCAGGTGATTGGGCAGAGCCTTTATGTGGCGCGCGAATACTTGCAGTAGATAGGTGCTGAAGGTAAAGATGAAACTTGACATATTGTACCTGATGCTTAATTGAATACCAATGACGCCATATCGTTGCCTGATGCCTAATGGCCTTAAGTCGGCCGAAAAAGGCCCGGGAAAACTCATGACCAATGGCGTCACACACTTAGTGGATTACCAGTGACGACACATCATTAGATGATGCCTTATGGCTTTCACTCGGCCAACAATAGCCTGTAAAAACTCATGACGACGCACTCAGGTGATTCGACAGAGCCATCATTAGGCTCGCCGATACTTTAACAGGTGCGAAAGGCAAAGATGGAACATGACATGTTGTGCCTGATGTTAAGTCGAACACCAGTGACATCATATCGTCAGCTGAAGCATTATACCATATAGGGGGTTGAAAAGAGCCCGTAAGAGCTCTTGACCATTGACGTCATATAACACGCGAATGCTTGCAGTAGGCAGGTACGAAAGGTAAAGATGGAACATGGCCTGTTGCGCTTGATGTTGAGTCGAATACCAGTGACGTCATATCATCCCGCGATGCTTCACAGGATATGATGCTTTGTTGCATTGGGGTGCCCAAGTGAGCCTGTATGAACTCATGACCAGCGACGTCACGCACTCAGATGGTTCGGCACCACCTCGATATAGCGCGCGAATGCTTGCAGTGAACAGGTACGAAAGGCAAAGATAGAGCATGGCCTGTTGCGCATGACATCTAGACGAAAACCGGTGACGTCATATGGTCAGCTGATGTGGTGTGGCTTACGGTAGGTTCAAAGCAGTCTATATAAATTAATGGTTAGTGACGTTACACACTCAGGTAGTTCGGCAGAGCCTTCCTTCAGCATTCAAATGCTTGCAATGGACAGGTACCAAAGGTAAAGATGAAGCATGGCCTGTCCCGCCTGAATTTTATTCGGATACCAGTGACGTCACATCTTCAGTTAATGTCGTATGACCTTTCGTCGGCCCAAAAGAGGCCGTAAAATCTGATCACAAGTGACATCACACACAGTCGAATGCCAGTGACGTCACATCATTAGGTCATGCTTTACGGCTCTCAGTTGGCCCCCAAAGATCCATAAAAATGCATGACCAGTGACGTCACACACTCACGTGATTTGGTAGCTTTTATTCATCACGCCAGTGCTTGCGGTAGACAGGTACGAAGGTAAAAATGAAGCATGACCTGTTGCGACCAACATTTAGTCGAATATCAGTGACGTCACGATACCTGGTGATATTTCACGGAACATGATACACCGCGGCCGTGGGGCCTAAGTGCACTCGTATCAAGTGATGATTAGTGACGTCACGCATTCAGGTGATTCGGTCAAGCTTTTATTCGACACGCAAATGCTTGCAGCAGACAGGTACGAAAGGTAAAGATGGAATAAGGCCTGTTGCGCCTGATGTTTCATTGAATGCCAGCGACGACATATCGTCAGGTGATGCTTTACGGCATTCATTACACCCAAAAGATCCCTAAAGCCTCACAACCAGTGACGTCACACATCCAGTCGAATACCAGTGACATCATATCGCTAGCAAATGCCTTGTAGCCTTCAGTTGGCCCAAAAGAACCCCGATCGATGGAAACCCATTTTCAGTGACGTCACTACGTCGGCTGATACCTGACAGCATTTCTCCATCACGGCAGTACAGGAACCCTGCAGCCAGCGTAGCTCTCCCCACCGTCGGCAATACAGGTACCCAAGTAAAAAAAAGCCGGATTCTTCATGCTTCAAACCCCCATGCTTTACTTGTCTTCTACATCCTCAAACGTGTTTTCCAATAGAAGCTTACAATTTCCATCCTTAAGAACCCAAAAATTATTTCTTGTGCCATTCAAATTTCTCTGATAATGAGATAACATCTAGAAATGTCAGATGTACACACTGACAATAATACACTCAATGACAGTTATTGCAAGTGACAGGTAGCTAAAAACACCACCACAAAGATCGCAAAATTACTATTTCCACATAATGTCGAGGCCCACCTTTTACACACATATACCAAACCGCCAACAACGCTCCGACTGATGCGCACGCACCGTCGTCGACATTCGAGTTGTCAGAGGGGGCTGGTCATCGAGGGATTTCCCGCCATGGGTAGTATTTTCTTATTTCCTAAATAAGGCTATATTGTGCTAAATTGCATCGTGCTGGGTCGTGGCTCTTGTGCTACCCAAGCATTCGACCTATTTCACCCCATATTCTGACTATTTTTATGATTTTGAACTATTGTTAGCGCAATCTATGCTATATCATATCAGTGCGCACTTATTCTGGTACATTTTCTCGTCTTGTTTCTAGTATAATTATGCAAATCACTGGGCCTTTGTCACGGAAATGCAATTATCCCGACCACTAACGGGCGAAACTGAAGCGTAGTGTGCCGAACGCGAGATGACATTTTGAATGTTGTACCAGTCATGTCATTAGTCATGTATTAGTCCCCATGTCATTCTATGATTTCTGGATGACACAAATTAGTGCTGCCATCCTCTCGCATGTGCAATACGCTGTGAGAGTGGATAGATTCAGACGGTCACCTGGCGGGAAGGGCGGGCGCCGCGGGGAATCGAACCCCGTACCTCTAGTTTCCCAGGCGCCCAGTGTAACCACTACGCTACCGCTCTCCCACCCCCCTACCCCGGATATGCTCGTCTGATTGGCGAGAAACAGTGGTCAGTATTCATCTGGGAGGGCTGCTTGATTGTAACCAATAACGACAGTGTAAACGTACTAGATTTCATGGATTCATCAGTGGCTCAGGAAACGCCAATATTGTTCGGTCTCCTCACATTTCTAATCTTGGGGTAGGGACCGTGCTGCAGTATAAGCAATGTCAGGTGTCGGATATTTGCCGTTCCCGTGGTGCAGACGAAAGTTGCCGGAGTCATTATCCGTCGAAAATGGGTGTGCGAGCTTCGTACTCAGCGCGTTGCTTTGACCAACAGGGATCAACTGATAACCAGCCAAAGTGGGGTCCTTGGTCCGGGGCGGCCGTGTTGCAGCGCTGCACAACGCATAGACCCTCTGCAAACATATTTCTGTTTACGAAGGAGACCGGAGGTAATACTATGCACTGGACTAGATCGCCTAATACGGGCTTTGGGTCCTGCTTTGTGTCTGAGCGCACGCAACAAGCTCCGCTTAGTCAGTGCTCTGATTCTGATTAGTCAAGACATCAATTGGGGGTATATTGTCCAACAGAGGCAACCAAAAATCGTTTCTAATGGAGATTGGTGCAAATGCACTATAGATGTTATGAGGCACCTCGCGCGACAAAGCAATTCAGGCATGAAAACAATGTCAATACACTAAACTAAAAAACAATCGCTTGCAATGCCTACATTTCCCGCGCGAATGCATTCTTTCCTGGCTTACCTCCAGCCAGGTCAATTATGGGATCGTTTTCCTTTCCAGCTTGGGCAAACAAGAAGGCCGTTCGGCGTCATCGAAGTTGCAGCCTGGTCCCAATTATCACAAGGCACAGTCATACGGTATTGTATCCAATTATATCCGTACAGAGCTGCATTCGAAGCACACATCGATCTCCAGAAATATGAATGATGATACTGAATAAGGCAGCGTTTGAAGAGTCGAATTATTTGCAATGGATTCCTGAACAGCTTTTCCACTCTTTTCCATTCTCACCGCATCCATCACGTCTCCCCCCTGAGAACCTCGCTTCACCGTACGTCCTATTCATCACTTCCTTACATCACCAATCCTCCCATCCACCAATCTCTCCCCTCATCACATGAGCCTCATTGGTTCCCTCCCGTCCATCCTTTATCACTCGCTTTTTACCTCCTCTCCTCATCCCTTACTCCCTTCCCCTTCATTCTCACCCTTTCTACACTCCTCCCGCGGCCCCATCGCTATAGCACCTTCGCAGTTCGACCCGCAAGTTGATCTGGCCGGAGGCGGGCGCAAGAGACGGCCGGCACCACAGCCAGCTCCAGCGGCTCGCTGGTCGGCAGCAGACGGTACCGGCCGCAGCACGTGACACAGCGCCAGCTTGATCTCCATCAGGGCGAATCGCTTGCCAATGCAGTGGCGCGGCCCAGAGCCGAACGGCATGTAGCTACAAGGCACGATACGCGGCTTGTTTTCGGCGCTAAAACCGCTCCGGGTCGAACCCGCTCCGGGTCGGGCCACAGGTCCGGGTCGTAGTGCATGCGGAGTGGCACCACAGCCAGGAATGTGCCGCGTGGGATGCGTACGCCCTGTACCTCCGTCGTGGCGTTCGACTGCCGGCCGAACTTCTCCACGGGTGGGTAGAGACGCAGTGACTCCCTGGATCACCATCTCCAGATAGGGCAAGCCGAGCACGGCCTCGTAGTCAAGGTCGCCGCTAGCCGGCACGTTAGCCGCTATCTCATCGTACAGACGGCTCTGCACGGCCTGGTGCCGCGCCAGCAAGTGAGATGTGAATGCTAACGCCGTACTCGTCGTCTCATAGCCGGCGCCGATAAAGACGTAAGCGTTGGAGAGCAGCTCTTCTTCGGTGAGGGCTTGGTTGCTGCTGTCGGCGCGCTGCGCCGCCAGCAGCAACCAAGCCCTCCAGGTGGTGAAAGTCGGACTAAGCACGCGGTCGGACATGCTTCCAGCGCTCGCCCCTCAGCCTTAGCAGACTGTTGTCTGGGGTAGTGAGCACCGGGCTCTTGAAGGCCCCATGACGGTCGGGGAAGATATCGCATCGCTCAATAAGCACCTCACGGACTAGGTCCGGGTATGTGGTATACAACAGTGGCCTCGTGCCCATGTACAGCGCTAACGTCTTGCCTCGGCTTCCGTACTGCACTCCGTACTCATTGAACAAGCGTCGAAGCTCCTGTGGGCCAGTGGGACCGACGAGTTTGGCAGAGTTTCCTCGAAGCAAAGTATATGGTGGCACGGTATGTCCAAACCTCTGGAGCGTCTGAAACTTGTACAGCCTCCGTCTGCAAATACAAAGAATGCGGTGGAGCGCATACAAGAAGATACATAGCAGCATAACCCACCGCTAGATTAGAAGATTCATCTGGATCGTTAACAGGGGTCCTGGCAACGGTCTGCGTTCAAAGCCTCGAGTTTGAGTCGAAGTCTGAGGTCTGGCGTCTTGAACCCAAGTCCCGGAGCCGAGTTAACCCCGCCCGCATAAATGAGTCAGCGTATCGGACCTGAGTCTGACGATCTTTTGACCGATACGAAGTCAGCGTTCCGGGCCCGGGTCTAATGATCTTGTGACCGATACGAAGTCAGCGTCCGAGACTGGGGCTAATGATCTTGTGACCGATACGAAGTCAGCGTCCCGGGCCTGAGTCTGACGATCTTGTGATCGATGCGAAGCCAGCGTCCCGGGACTGGGTCTAACGATCTTGCGATCGATACCAAGTCAGCGTCCCGGGCCTGGGTCTAACCATCCTGTGACCGATACGAAGTCAGCGTTCCGGGCCTGGGTCTAACGATCTGGTGACCGATACCAAGTCACAGTTCATCTAATTACACCGCCGGAGGAGATCTCGTTTTCCGATAGGTCCGCAAGATCCGGCCCTCATTCCGGGCCTTGAGCAAGATTGCAATTTCAAGTTCATTGTTATTGTGCGACGCCGTGGGGATGCACATTATGGAAGGTAAGTGTGAAGAATGTGAACAGGTGTATGTTTATGCGTGTATATATACATATATATATATATATATATATATATATATATATATATATATATATATAGATATAGATGTATAAATATTTATATATATATATATGTCTAAATACGAGTGTATATATAGTGTATGTATATATTAGGTGTGTGTTTGTGCGTGTGTGTGTGTATTGCAGAAGAAACAGCTCTTAAGCAGTGGAAATAACGACGTGCTGCGAGCCATGATAATCTGACCCAACACAAAAAAGCGGAACAACCCAACCTACCCAAATTATCTTAATACGACCTAAGCTAACGAAGCGTAGCTGAATCCAACTTGCTTCTCCTGGCGTCTTGCCATGGCAGCATGAGAAGAGTTTGTCACAATTGTAGGTCTATCCCAGCTAAGGTTGCACGTTTCCCACAAACGCACGTTGCTGCGCGCACTTACATGAACAGAACGACAATCCCTCCTGCGACGAGCGTCAAAAGAGCCAGCCACGGCACGGCGCCCGGTACCAGGAGCGCCATCTGGCTGCCGTCTGACACGCAAGCCCGGGCGGGCGGCACCTACTGTGCGCCTTCACTGCGCGGGCGCTCCGACCATGGACTGGTCGACCGCGCCGCGCTGCTGACACTGTGTGACTGTCATGCGGGAGGTGGATAGGGGCCTACGTGAACAGTGTGACGGTATCTCATGCCGCGCCGCTGACACTGTGTGGCTGTCATGCGGGAGGTGGATAGGGGCCTACGTGAACAGCGTGACGGTATCTCATCCTATCGCACGCACCTGTCCGAAGTGCCTCGTTCTCAAGTGTTCTGTGTGGTGTTGGAGAACCACGTAGGAACGAGGAGGCTACGACAACTGAGCCCCCTTGTTGTGATTCGTGAATGTCAGGATATGTAGGGCCTTCTATGGACCCTGTTTAACGTGGATTTTTGAGACTTTTGATACGGTTTTTTAAATCCATACCTTGTACCTCAAATATATTTGTCGAGCCTTCTAACAAATAATCTGCCTCTCAAGAATACCGGGTCCGGCTGTTGTATGGCAGTATCGCTTCTCCGGCTTCCAGCCCATGTAACGGATGGACAGGACAAGCTGATCATTTCCGGACTCAGCGATCGGGTCAGTACATGAGCCCCGCTCCCTGTCACGCACCTCTCTCGCCATCACGCGTGCGCCCACATCCTGCTGTCTCACAACCTCTTGTCCTGTTCTTATCGGCACGTCGTGCCGCCTCGCCCGTGTCCCCGGGTTTATCGGATCCTGGTGGCGCCGGGTTTACCGGATTCTGGTGGCTGAGGGGCACGCCGTACGAACTGGCCGTATGGGGTGGGCAGTACGGAGTACGGAGTGGCCAAACTTGTGTGAGTGTGAGTGGCCTACGGAGTGGCCAGCCTTGTCCGTAATCATATGATAGTGTTTTTCTCCTACAGCGCACTACGTGCACTACTGCTAGTATGGAACTCTTTGTGTGTGTGGGGGGGGGGGCGGGGGCGGGGGGGGGGGGGGGGGGGGGGTATTTGGGGGTGCGGTGGGTTGGGGCGGGGTTTCCTGGCCGCCGCTGGATGTTGCACGCCGCCGGTTGCCACTGTCACATCCTCCCACGAGAGCAAATTTATAATGAGGAGCCCATTGGTCAGCATAACGAGCTCGATGATGTTAGCGCACGGCTCGACACCGTTGTGGCTCCGGTACACCCCGACATCAACACACAGTCATGTGAGCCACAGAGCTAGGATGAAGCGGGTGACCGGGGCATTGGCGGGATGGCGGATCCGGTCAGGCACCATGAACGGCTGTCTCCCCCGCCCATGGCTGTGCGCCCTTAACCACGGTATCCACCTCCACCCTTTAGCTAGCGACAACATTTAAATGGGGCATAAACGGGATCGCGTGCATACTAATACGCCCAACCGGCAAGGGTCCCCCACACTGGCGAATTATATTGACAAGAGCCCACCGGGTAATGACCCTGGGACCCCTCCCCGGCCTTAACTTATCCACGCAGAAGCGAGTCTCGCCGTTTTTCTTGGGGACCAACACGACTCCGGCGGCGTATTCTGAGATGGATGGCTCGATGGTGCCCCTTTGTAGCATTTCGCGTACTTCACGTTCGATGGTCGCTCGCGCTGCCTGAGCTACCCGGTAAGCTGGTCTCCGGACGGGCTTCGGTGACGTCAGTTCTATACGGTGTTGGATCAGCTGGCACCTCCCCAAACTGCCGTCCCACGAAAAACAGCTTCGTAGTCCTTCAAGAGCCATGTCAAGTCCTGTTTTTCCTCAGGGCTCAACTCCCCGATTTCCACGTCACCGACGTCCCACTGACGACTTTGCCGACTCGCCGGCTAGTGTCGTTCGCCCTGGCTGCAGTGTCTTCTCGCACGCTCGCTCCAGACGCGTGCGCTGGCGACTGCGGGACCTTCACCCGGGATCCGGCGGGCCAGTTTCCATTGTCCCGCGTCCCAGGTTGAAGAGCTCTACGGCCAGAGTCTCGCCATCTTGCCTCCCTTCGTCGGAGACCGATATCACAACGCCTTCACCCTGCGCCTCTGGAGAGCTTCCGCGGGACTCACGCAGGTCTGACCAGCTTGCCTCTTGTCTGTTTGCTTGCACCGTCACTCCGGTCCGGGCCGGCACCGAAACTGCTTCCCACGAGCTCCAGGTAGGCTTCCTCCTCTCTCGCGTCACCCGTTCCGGCCCGTCCGGCTTCGGAGTCGGCTCTATCCCAGTAACGCCGACTGCTGGCGCCCCCTCTCCCGTCATGACGCCGAGTGGCGTTTGACGTGGCGCCGGTTGGACATGGTCCTGCTGGCGCCGTCGACGGTCAGCCCGTGTGCTTGGATGAAGTCGAAGCCGATGCTCGCCTCATGGGGCAGTTCTCTGCAGACGTACGCCCAGTGGAGGATGGATTCTCCGCACAACCGTGAACCTGACACGCTTCAGGCACTGGACGTCGATTGTGTGGCCGGACGCGGACTTCAAGACTATTAGCGGTGCGCGTTGGTCGCCTCCCGTCCATCCGTCTTCGAAGGCGGAGCCCCGGACCAGTGCAGCTACTGCTCCCGTATCGATGAGGGCGGTACAAGTACGGTCTTCGATGCGCACAGTGCATGTGCACACCGCTGGAGGCGGTGTCAGCGGCGCGCTCTGCTCTTGCCCCGCCTCTTGACCTTTATGCCGAGTCGGCGGCGCTTCCCGGCTCCGTTCAGGTGATATCCCCATTCGTTCGTATCTCCTTCCGTGTCTCTTCATTTCCCAGCTTCGTCGGGTTCGCCCTCGGCCGATCCTGTTTGACGGAGAAGGCCTCGCCGCTCTGCAGGACCGGTGACCCGTCACGACGCCGAACGTTCCGGTCAGCCCGATCTTGATATTTATTTGCCACGCGTGAGGGCCTTTCATTACCGCTCGTCGGCTGGCCCCCTAATGCAGCCGACTCCTCCCGTTTCCCCTCCGCTGGGACTTCTCGGGGCAGCGGCGGGCGTAGTGTCCAGGCCGGTCGCAGAAGAAGCAGTTTCCCTCTCTGAAATCTTGTGCCTCCTCTTCGCTCCACCTGCCCTGGCTCGGTCGCCACTCTTCATCCCCGCCGTGCTCCAGGTGCGAGCGCCAGTGCACGGACTTTGTCCGCCTGCCCCTTCCGGCGTGGCCGCCGTGGTACGCTCCCTGATACTGGCACACTTCTCGTCGCCCGCGGGGCAACGGCAGCTGGTCCTGGTATGGATGGGAGTCGCCTTCTCGCCGTGATGGCCGCTGCAGCTCGGTGTCCCTCCTGGGACCCCGATGCTGCTCGTCCTCTTCCCTGTCGCGTTGGCTGCTCCTTCCTCCCACCGGTGATGTCTCCATTCTCTTTCTTCTTCCGTCTCGGATTTCCATCGCGAAGACGAGGGTCTCGATCAGGTTTACGGCTGCTGGCCCGCCCCTGTACGTATTGAGAACTTCTTCCTCTCTGTGCGTCGCTTCCAGCGCCTCCTCTT